CAGGCAAAGAGGCAGGGATGTTGGATTTGATCCGATCTGCACAAGCTGTCTCCAATAGCTGCCCATGGCTTACCAGCCTCTCTCCAAAATACAGATTTCATGAGGACTCAGTGGATGGGGAGAGAGCAGAAGCCAGGATAGTTTGGATCTCGGTGTGATCCTTCAGGACTGTCAGAGGACAGAGCAATGGGGAACGGAACCACTCTTCCTGGGGATGGACTCCAGCAGCCTCTGATGCCACCAAGAAGCCAGACCATGTTCTCTGCTCAGCCTCAGAGCTCTTTTCAGACCTCAGAAGCAAAGACTACCCAGAGCTCTGCGAGCAGCTGACATGGCTGAGGATTCCAGGTTGCCTTACCCCAGCTGAGCACACCTTGCACTTGGCAGGGAGCAGCTGTGCCAGGAAAGACAAACTCTCCATCTGAAAACCATTCCCTGGGATGTCAGAGCCCAGCCTGCTGCCGTTGTGGAGACCCTTTGATGGAAGGAGCATCCCTCCACCTCAAAGCCATCGTGCTGAAGGGCTTCACGGTGCTGTGTCTGGCCAGAGCTCCTCCTGGCCCTGGGCTCTGTGTCCACCCATGCTCCTCTTCCCACCCAGCTCTGCCACCAAACAAGGAGATGAAAACTACTGGCAAAGTTTTGGGATGCTCGAGTTTTCACCCACAAACTCTCTCTCCATGAATGAGTGGCATTAATGAGTGAGGGAGCCTCATGCACTGGTTCTCTGTGTGTCAAGGACCAGTTGTGGGCTCCGTGAGCTTCCTCACACCTGGATCCTGAGCATCACCTGAGCTGCTTGCACAGACATCCTTCTCCCAGATAAAGCTGTGACAGTGATTTTAGTTAAGTTTCTATTAATCAGATTTAAATCTGGGCCTTTAATGCAACCCACGATGGGAATTTATAACGTTTCAAGCAGATGTTTTAATTCAGAGCACTTTAATGTTGATTTGTCTGAGAATGGCAAATCCAAAGTTTTCCCTTTTAAAATCAAGTCATGTTCAAATAGGTTTTCCAATGCCTTATGTAATGATGAAAAATTAAGTCTTAGCTAAAGCAGCATCTAGTATAAATTTATTGGAAACTAAATTAGGGCACTCATTTTGCAGGAACACCTTGGTATTATGGAAGAGCACCGGGACAGTTTCTGATTCCACGTAATTTTACCATTTCCCATTACATTAATTTCTTTCTTCAAGTCCTCATTTTCCAAGAGGCGTTTGTTTCCCTGCGAGCAGGGGCAGGGAGGAGCGCGGCCGTGGGCAGCTGTGAGCTGTGCCCTGGGCAGGACCTGGCCGAGCTCTGGGGGAGGCTCAGGAGCCGGAGCCACCCAGCGCAGAGCCGCGGGACGGGGCTGCAACAGCCCGCACGCTACCAAGTAAATAGATGCGTCTGCCTCTGATTTGCATGTTTATCTTAGAAGCAATTTAGGTTTCTCCTTGTTTACAAGAGCCGAAGTCAGCAGACTCTCCGCAAGAACAGCTTGGAAGGCGCCGCATGACGGCTGCGTCCGCTCCTCGGGCACCGGGACGAGCTCCCGCAGCCCCCGGGGCATCCCTGCGGCTCCGGGGACCAGGGGGGCTGCCAGGGAGCCAGCAGGGCTCCAGAGCTGGAACGTGGGGTGTCCATGCCCGGCGCTCGGGGAGAGGCGACGCTGCCGGACCGCTCAGCCCAGGGGCCGCAGGGACGGTGCCAGCCCTGCCCGGCTGGGCAAACGGCTCTGCAGCCGGCAAAGGGCGATGCCGGGGCTTTGGGCACCCTGAGGAGGCAGCGGCGAATGGAATCGAGCTGGACTGAGCGGGGGATCCTTATCCCCACGTGCACTCAATTATCCATTTCCTTCTTCCCTTCCTCCAGCTCCCCCTCACTGCCCAGCTCCTGCTCCTGCCTCTCTCCTCCCAGCCCTGAAGTCCAGGCCTGAGCAGCCTCCAGCACCAGCAGTTGTTTCTCACAGACTTTTCCGAACTCAGGGCTTGGGTTGTGTGGGGCTTTTTTCAGCTGGAAAATTCAGATTTTCCCAGAGAACAACTCTGCAGAAGTGTGCCACTTCCAGCACAGCTTCATTTGTTCAAAAACAAAGTTCTGATAAGGCAGCTGGGGACTTCTCAGAACATCCATTGTCTGTCCCATTGCAGTGTTTTTAAAATGTCACAGATTTTGAGAAATAAAATTGGAAGGGATACTTTCATCTATCCAAAACAAATGTTTGGGTTTTTTCCCTCCCAAAACTCTGCTTGGCAGAATTTTTTGATGTTCCTTGTCTTGCTGCATTTCAGAGTAACTGAACCGAACTGGAGCATTTCTCACCAAGTGGAAGCTTTCGTCCTTGCCGAGATAACCACAGCCTTTCCAGGACATGGGAGGAATTTCCCTTTAGTTGTGTGTTACATTTCAGTACATAAACTCTGAAGGAATCCTGTAGGCACTGTTGGAAATCCACTGCCAGGGGCAAAGGGAGATGCAGCCACTGACCCTGGCAGTTCTGGGGTGCACATGGCGAGGTGCTGCTGCAGCAGTTGGTGCCCTTTGCACTACTCTCCTTCCACTTTCTCTGCTGATAATGTTTGTTCTGATCTGGGTATTTGGCAGGAGAATTAAGGAGCAGTAATTAGTTTCCAGTGTGAAAAAGGGAGTGCCTAGTGTTTATCTTGTCTGGAGGGTTTCCCTTGATCTCGGTCTCCCAGGGGATGCTGTTAGTGCTTTATCCATCACTCTCCAGTCCGGGAGCAGCTGCTGTGTCCCAGCCCGCTGCTGTGACTGGAGACCAGCGCCCCAGCTCAGCAGTGCTGGTGCAAGGCAGGGGATGGGGTCCCCACAAGGCCCCTGGTGAGGTGGCCCATCACGGAACATTTTCGCTTTTCCAGTTTCCCCAGCATCACTATTCTCCAGCAAAGAGAAGCTTTGGCTACTGGATCCTGCAGCACCTCATCACTGCTCCTGCCAGCCCAGGCAGGGTAAACCAGCCATCCCCATCCTGGCTGGGCAGAATGAATTTCGGGCTGGGGACCTGACCATGCTTCCCCGTAGGAATTCTGCAGTCCCACTCGACGCCACCGTGCCATCATCCAGCTGCTGGGATGCTCCTCTGCCGTGCCCTGCCCTCCGCAGGAAGGAATGGGTTGCTCTCACAGTCTGGCACGAGCGAGGCAGTGAAACACCCACAGTCGGCAGCGCTTGAGGAGCTCCTGTTGGCTTTTCTTTCCCTAACAGCTTCTGCTGCTTCCCTGTTCCTCTGCTTCAGGATGAAAGGCTGGTGAGCATGCCTGTGATAACAGTGCTCGCTGCCCCTTGGAGTCTGGTCTTGCAAAGCCATGGGGAGCTGGGTTTATTATCCTCAGCTCCAGCCCGAGATGACCTTGTGCTTCTGCCAGCATTTAAACAAAATATTTTAAAAGAGGGAACAGATCCCATTGCTTTCTGTGCTTGCAGGGCTTTCCTGAGCCTGGGAGCCCTCTCTGGGGTGGATAGAACTGAGAGAACATGTCAAGAGAGAGACAATGAAATATTGTCCAAGCTTATTGCTTTTTATTATTATTGAAGGAAGGTTTTTGCTTCCAGTCTGGGGGTTAGAAAAAATCTGAATATCACCCAAACCTCATCCCTTCCAGCCAGAATCCCAGCTCCGTGCTCTGCGGCAAAAATCATCCTCAAGCACAAGCAGCCAGAGGGGCGAGCGGGTGGTGCAGGCGGGAGCTGACTGGGATGGAAAATTCCACGTCGCTGCCATTGTCCGGGCTGGTGTGAGAGTGCGGGGCAGAGCTCAGGTCCCTCCCCCGTGGCTGTGGAAAGCTGCCCATGGGGCTCAGCCAGGCTCTGGCAGGCTGCTCTTTGTGCCGTGTCTTCTGCTCCCCACTGCTGCAGGGAGGGGACCGCGATACAGAGACACGAGGTGGGAGCCACAGCAAAGCTCCGCCACTTCTGGAACTTCAGGGCACGAGAGTAAATGTTCAGGAGATGCTCAGAGAGGAATCGACAGCTGGGGGATAGCAGTGTGGGTAAGGAATGCAGCACCAGGAGATGATCACAGGTGTGTGTGCCATGGACATTCCCGACAAAAGCAGGCAGGAGACAGGGCAGAGCCTGCATGAGCCGTGCTGGGCTCAGCTGGGCTCCATCCTGCTGTGCTCAGCAGGGCTGAGCGACAGCGCGGGGATGTTGGGAAGAGGGTGGGAGGGAGGTTTTGCACATCAGCAAGTTTCTGCTGCTGCCCCAGGAGTTGACACAGCCCAGGCTTATGGGAGACATCCCGTGACTCACAGCACCCTGTCTGAGCTGACTGTCTGCGGCGGGAGATGAGCTCCACAGACTCCCTGCTTCTTCCTGCAGGGATGCACACACTGAGAAAGGCTCTGCTTGCTCCTGGCTGGTGCAGTTTGGGATTGGTTTATTACACAAAAAGTCAGGGATGGCTCAGCTGTGCCCTGTCCCTGTGTCCTGCCTGTCTGAACCACAGCCCCAGGCAGGTCTTGACATGTGCTTCACAGCTCGCCCATGCAAATGGGATGCTGCAAGGGGGCACAGTGCTGTGTGGAGTCACTCTGGGAAGAGCCTGGAGCAGCTCTGACACAGCTAGAAAGGAAAGAGGGAAAGCTAGACTTCAATATAAGGCCCATCAAGTAGGGTGAGGAGCTGGTGGTCACTTGGTTTGTTCAGCTGGAGGAGGCGGAGGTCAGACCTCATTGGGGTCTGCAGCTTCCTCCTGAGTGGTACTGGAGGGGCAGCTCTGATCTCCTCTCTGTGACCAAGGACAGGACCCAAGGCAGTGCCTGGAGCTGTGTCAGAGGTTTAGGCTGGATATTAGGAAATAGTTCTTCTCCCAGAAAGTGGCTGGGCACTGAACAAGCTCCCCAGTGCAGTAGTCATGGCCCCAAGGCTGCCAGAACTCAAGAAGTATTTAGACTATACTTGCAGTCACAGGGTGGGATTTTGGGGATGTTCTGTGCAGGGCCAGGAGTTGGACTCAATGATCCTTGTGAGTCCCATCCCACTCAGGATTTTCAGTGATTCTGAGTCCCCTCTGCAGGCAGGGCAGTGATGTGGCACCATTCTCTCCCACAGGTACATCGGGGCACTGGGAGCGAGGGTGATCTGTGATAACATCCCCGGGCTGGTGAACAAGCAGCGACAGCTCTGCCAGAGGTACCCTGACATCATGCAGTCAGTTGGGGAGGGAGCCAAGGAGTGGATCCGGGAGTGCCAGCACCAATTCCGGCACCACCGCTGGAACTGCAGCACCCTGGACCGGGACCACACTGTCTTCGGCCGGGTCATGCTGCGAAGTAGGTTCTGCCCTGTCCCTTTCCCACCACCGTGTGCCTTGTCTTCCTGGGAGAGCCTCTTCTCCCGCTGGGCTGCCTTGCCTGGTGGCTTGGATTACTCCCTGAGGAGAGCTTTGCTTTTCCTTGTAAATTAATCAAGTAGTAATGGGAGCAGAGCACTGCATTTGGAATAGCTGCACCAGATGAAATGGAGCAGGGGGAGCACTGGGGGAGAAGGGCAAAGGAGGAGACACCTCCGGAGAACAGGCTCATATGTAAACAGTAATGGGATATATAAATATTTGGAGAGAGGGGTTGGCCAGGACTCAGCAATTCACGTGGGAACTGGCTGTTCTCTCACATGGCAAGGGAGGCAAGGCACAGATGCAGCTCCAATCCTTGCTCCAGGCTCCGAGGTGGAGGAGGACACACGGGGCAGGTGCCAGCCCTGCACAGAGGACTGGGCATGGCCCCTGCCCGGGAGAGACCTTCCCACTCCAGGTGAGGGATGGATACAGCTCAAGCAGGAATGCACCCAAGAAATGTAGCCAGTGAACAAAGAGGAAAGGCACGATGGGGACAGGGATGGGGCGGCTCCAGAGCAGGAGCAGCATCATGGGCTCCAGCTGCCCTGGGAGTATCTGGGGAGCAAACAGGCCCTGGGAGCGGGCTCAAGCCCCGGCACAGGCAGGAGCACTGCAGGACAGATGCTGCTGCATCCCATGGCGTGCTGGGAGCATCCAGCCATGTGGCCTCCAAATCAAAAGCGGCTGGAAGAGTCTTTCCACTCGCAGCTCGTATGGAGGACACATGAGCACCACAGGAGGAGCTGGTGAGTGGGGGGCTTGCTTCTAGCTGGCAGGGGGATGGGGCAGCTACCTGTGGGGTGGACAAGCAGCAGAGCCACGAGCCAGGATGCCCAACCTGACTGGAGGGAAGGGGACTGGAATGCTGAATTCCAGCATTCACCCTGCCATGCTGCAGCCTGCCTGCTCAGCCTCTCTGTTCCCATCACGGCACCTTTTCTCCTGCTCGCATCCTCTCCTGGCAAAGAACGGAGAATGATGAAAGCTCCTCGCCACAGCCCCATCCTGCGAGGCCCAAAGAGAGCTCTGCTGCCTTTGAAGTTGCTTTCAAAGGCTCTTGAAATGAAGACTAACATGGTTTTGATTTGCAGCTTCTTTTACAACATTATAAAAACAGCTGCGAACTTGAACCAGAGACATAAAATAGCAGGCGGCAAGCTGTGCTGCGCAGGGAGAGGAGAGCCTGGCCAGAGCTGGCAGTGCCTCCACGCTCCACACAGCGCCAGGAGGGAGCACAGGGAGTGGCCCTGGGGAAGGATGCTGGCTGGTCTCAGCTCCTGTGGCCATGACATTGCAATTAGTGTGAAGGGCTCCCAGGAAGCCGAGGCTGGACGCTGTGGTAGCAGTTTGGATTACCCCCATACAGGATGCTCTCGCTCCCCACGCCCCAGATCTTCATGGGCTGCAGGCACTGGGCACAGCCTGGCACACTGACGCCCTATCCCTGTTTCTCTCCCCGTGGCAGGCAGCAGGGAGGCCGCCTTCGTCTACGCCATCTCCTCGGCCGGGGTGGTCTATGCCATCACACGGGCGTGCAGCCAAGGGGACCTCAAGGTGTGCAGCTGTGACCCGCTCAAGAGAGGCCGCTCCAAGGATGAGCGCGGGGAGTTCGACTGGGGCGGCTGCAGCGACAACATCAACTACGGGATCCGCTTTGCCAAAGCCTTTGTGGATGCCAAGGAAAAAAAAGTGAAGGATGCTCGGGCGCTGATGAACCTGCACAACAACCGCTGCGGGAGGATGGTGAGTGCAGCCCCCGCCACAGAGCCCAGCGCTCGCCCCTCCCACGGAGACCCTTTGCATGCTTTGCCCGAGGGAATGGCCCCACAGGGATGGCAGGACCTCGCTTACCTTTGCCTCCTGTGCCCTTGATGATGCTGGCACCAGTGACCTCCGTACGCAGCCCCATCTCCCATTAGGAGCCCCATCCCACACAGCCAAGGGCTGATAAGCTGCACCAGGAATGAGCAGACACTGGTGCAGTGCCTGATGCCAAAGGTGCCCACTGGTCCTTACCCATCCCTCTTCCCATAGGCTGTGAAGCGCTTCCTGAAGCTGGAGTGCAAATGCCACGGGGTCAGCGGCTCCTGCACACTAAGGACTTGTTGGCTGGCAATGTCAGATTTTCGAAAAACAGGGGATTACCTAAGGAGGAAATACAATGGGGCCATCCAGGTGACAATGAATCAGGATGGCACTGGCTTCACAGTGGCCAACAAGAACTTCAGGAAGCCCACAAAAACAGATCTGGTGTATTTTGAGAACTCACCTGATTACTGCGTGATGGACAAGTCAGCAGGTAAAACCCAGAGCTCCAGTCATTACCCAAAAGCATCTCTTCCTCCCTTCCCAACAGGCCAGCAGCTCCCAGCTAGTCCAGCCCGGGGGCTCAGCTGTTCTGTGCACAGGCTGCCAGCTGCTCCTCTGAACACAGCCCAAGGTTGTGATGGGACTGGGGAAGAGGTATCAGGGCTGCCGGACTCCTGCAGAGATGACCAATGGTTTCTCAGCCTGGAGCATTCCCAGTTTAGTTTGCAGCAGCCATGGGAGCTTGGTCAGGAGCATATGGTCCTACCATCCTCAGCCTGAGCACAGAGCTCTGAGCTTTTCCAGCTGCAAAGCCTGGCTCGGTGGGCACACACTGCTCCAGGGGTCCCCCAAAGCACAGAGGGGCTGCAGAGAGCCCATCCCTGTCCCCTACAGCTCTTGTGCTCTGGCAGTAGCAAACACAGGCTTGAGCAGTGGGCATGGGAAAGGGGCCATGCAGATTGTCATGAATGACACCCAGAATGTTTGGGGTTGGAAGGGACATGAAAGATCATCTCATTCCAACCCTCCATCATGAGGGACATGAGAGACACCAAAGCTGCATCCCTGGCCGGGCTTGTGGCATCCCATGTCCATAAAGCAAGTGCAGGATTTGGAGTGGAGCCTTTGGAGACCCCACTGCAGCAGGAACAAGGGGACCTCCCCCCTAAAGCAGTTGCCCCCAGGGTCGCCATGGTAGAAGGAGACGCTCAGTGTCACCAGTAACTCCTGTGGGTGGGTGGGGAAGTGCTGGAGCACGATGGAGAGGAGCACCCTGACCTGCTGTCGCTTCCTCCCCAGGCTCCCTGGGCACGGCTGGCCGGGTGTGCAGCAAGGTGTCCCGCGGGACGGACGGCTGCGAGGTGATGTGCTGCGGGCGCGGCTACGACACCACGCGCGTCACCCGCGTCACCAAGTGCGAGTGCAAGTTCCACTGGTGCTGCGCTGTGCGCTGCAAGGAGTGCGAGGACACTGTGGACGTGCACACCTGTAAAGCACCCAAACGGGCTGAGTGGTTGGACCAGACCTGAGGAGATGGGAGCACTGAGGGAAGAAGCCACTGCCACCCCCCCTGCAATGTTTTTTAAACCCTTGTGCCCTGAGGGCCACGATGTTCTGGGAGCTGTAGTTCAGCTGCATGGCTTTTATTTAATTAATTCTACAAAGCACTAAGGAAAGGACTACAGTTCCCAGGAGGTACTGTGGGCCCTTCGATGTGCTCAGCAAAACTAATCCCTGACCCAGCAGGAGGCTGTGATCCTTGCTTGAACTGTGAACCTGCAAAGGTTCTCCTGGCAAAGGGACAGTGCAACCAATACAGATTTGGGGACTGACTATCAGGACGTGATGGCTGAGGAATCCTGCACCTCCCCACAGAATCTACGTTACAGTAAAGCTTCACCAGCAAAAAACACTAGTTCAGAATAATCCACTCTTGCAAAAGCATTCTTGCTTTTTCTTTTTTGCAAGGCCAGAGGAAGGGTGTTGTGAATCTGTAACAGTTCCATGACACCCGTGTTTCCCTCGAGCAGATTGACACATCACTAACCCCACTGAGCAAGAGTCACCTCTGCACGAGGCTTGTCCCTGTGTCCCAGCACAGGGAACCAGTGGAGCTGTAACTTGGAACTGAACCCTGAAGGATTGCACAAAGGCCACCTCTAGCTGCTGGTGGGGCGCCTGAGAGAGCAAATGAGACCTGTGAACTTCTTGGTAGGTTCTGAAGTCAACGATACAACAGCATCTCTGTACAACTCGTGTATGTTGTGTATACTGCTTATTATTTTAAGTCAAAATTCTTTATAAAACTGTATCAGAAAATGACGTCCTTTGCTTTTTGAATTCTTACACCCTCAGCCGGGCATGCCCTCAGAGCAGGAACCAGCCTGCAGTCTTTGTCTTCCCTGCTGTCTGCAGCTCCTGTTTGTCCCAAAGCTTCCTACAAAGCTGAGCATCCAAAGCCCCAGGGGAATCCTGTCTCAGCAGCCCCACGCTTCAGGACATGTGGATGCCCCATCCCCACAAGTGTTTAAGGCCAGGCTGGGCAGGGCTTGGACCAACCTGGTGGAGTGGAAGGTATCCCTGCCCCTGGCAGGGGGTGGGACAAAATAAGGTTTAAAGTCCTGTACCACCCAACCATTCCATGGTTCTATAGCACTGGGTTGAGCAGGATATGCTAAATAAATCTTTCCCATTAGAAAACCCCCAAGCACTCTAAACATAATCAATTAAAATTGAAGTTGATGAGGGGAGGGGAAGGCAGCTGCTGAGCTACTGGCAGGAAAGTTACAGTGATCCACCCCTCATCTCTACAAATTTCTTCTTTTCTCCACCAGTTTGAACAAGCAGACATTATAAAAATGCTTTATTTAGTATACAGATATTTTATGGAGTCTGGTCAAAAGGTCCCAATCCACACAAACAAGTGCAATGTGTAACAGTTGAACCTGGAAACCAAAGTGACCCAGGTAAAAAATTACCTTAAATCATTGCAATTGCTGAAGCTGAGGGTGCTCCTGCAGTTCCCCCACCAGTTCTAGGCTGCACCTTGCCCCAGGCAGAGGTGCCTCCTCCCTCAGTCAGGAAAAATGGGGTTCATTTTCCTAATATTGCTCAGCATTGTGCTGATGGGCAAGTGAGGGCATTTCACACAGAGGAAGTTTTCATGGAAGTTCCAAATTTGTAACAATAAGAAAGGCCAAGTCAACAGGGACCTGCAAATACTTTTTGCTGAGTCTATTTTACTGCTGCAGAGGGAATGTCAGGGGTCCCTGAGAAGCTGGGGTTTTCTCCTGGAAGCAGTGTGGGCAGGAGAGAGCTGAGCAGGCTACAAGAGCAAAGTCTGAAGGAAGGTCAAAGGAGCAGGATGGGATTAAGGCAAAGAAGATTATTCTGGTCCTAAGCCACCCATCAGCTACTGCACCCAAAGCATCTCCAAACAGGGACTTTACTCAGTGGCCCTAGGAAATAATAGTTTAAGTGGGGAGAGAAATCCTTTTTGAAACATGTTTTAATGGGGGAATGCTCCAAGAATTAAAAGAGCCTGCCATGGGCTGGATTAAGCACCTTCCTCCATGCCAAACCCCCAAGAGTGCTCATGCAGATAAAGGGCTTTCAGCAGAGCTTCTGCAAAGCCACAGCCAAGCCAAAAGGTGACATTTTAATGGAGCACTTAAGAGAATTACAGGAATCCCATCTTCCCACTGCCTAACCTGTTTCTTACAGAATTAAACCAATTCCCTGACAGCACAAGAGGATTGTGCAGCACCTTGCACTGCACCCTGCTCTTGCATTGGAGTTGGTGTTTATCCAGACTTCTGGTCTCCCCTCAGGCCCTTCCAAGACTCTCTGAATTTCAGGGAGAGACAATTTTCCCATCCTGGCTGTACTGAGGAATGCTGGCAGGTGAGCAGGAGGTCTGAGGCAGGCCAAAGGCATCCCAAGCCAGCACAGCATCCATCAGCGCAGGCTAATCGACCGAGAAGAGCCTCTCATTTATCTTCATTACTGCTCCACCTACTCTCAATTTACGACAGACTTGAAAAAAATGCTGCCCCCTCAGCCATCAATCCAGGCCTCCCCCCCAGAGCAGGACACACTCCCTGAGCTGGGAGGGACCCAGTGCCTGAGGACCCAGGGTCAGTCATCAACAAACACTTCTTTTGCAGAGGATCCCTGGGGGTGCCTGTAGATCATCTGTGGGCCCACCTGATGAATGACACCTCAATCAATGGCTGCTGCCTAAATATATCCTCCCCTTGAACGCAGATGTTCGTGTACTAAAACAAAGAGGGAAACTCCTGAGGAAAGGCTGTGTTTATTGGCTTGCCCCCTTTCTGGTTTCATCAGTGAGCTGCTGAAATTGGATGCTTCTAGTGCTCTGTAGAGTAACCACAGCTGAGTCAGGAGCCCTCCCTAGTCCTGCCAGGTCCACCTGTGCAGCTGCATTCGTCTGTCACAGCAGTAAATAACAGGAGTAAAATACTTGGAATGGAGTGCAAGTGCTACAGAAGTACCTGGAGAAGCAGTCATGGAGACAGCCCATCAAGCTCAAGTCCACTTGACAGAAGTGAGTTTCTTCTGCAAAGGACTATGCAAGGCTACCCTCATTTATTAACAAACAATTAGCAGAAAACCACAGACTTGGAATACAAATACTCTGGCCAGCCAGAGCAAACTCCCAGTGCTTGTACAAGACAAGGTCCCACTGTGGGCTGAAAGAAATGCAGACTGGTCAGTGCCCTACTGCAGATGAGCCCCATGGAAGCTCAAGCTTCCCCCCAGCACACTCATCCTTGGCAAGCAGCTGTTTTCCACCTCAAAACATTCCTGAAGGCTACAGTCTCGCCAGGGAACACTCAGTCCCTCTCACAAGCCCCTCTTAAGTAATCTGCCTAAAATGGGGAGGGAGCCTCTTACACAAGTTCACCTTCTAATTATCTTCCAGTCAAAAACCATGCCTGCACTCAAGGACAAGGTGCAGAATTAATTGCTTAATGAGCTTCTGATTATATTACCTTCTCTGAAGCAGCTGGACAGGACACACAGGAGGAGGCAGAAGGCATTGGAAACATGGAATAATGTGCAGTGCCAGGAATTGGAGTTGACATCCAAATGATGCATCCTCATGGGTCTCTTCCACAGTCCAGGAGATTCTATGACTGATTTTCTCTACATGGGTGAGAACAGGCCTTAGCCCAGGTGCCACCACCATTTTTTGGGATGGAGGTAATGGCAAGACCCGTAAATTCTTGAGCTCAGCAATGCAGGTGAATACATTGCCAAGCTACATCCCAATCCCAACACCCCCTTGTCTCCCCATGGGCCCTTTCTGTTCTCTGTTGGGTTCATAAAGGCACAGAAGGGTTTGCTCAAGTACCTGTGGTCAGTGTAATCCATGGGGGATCACCTGCTGTAACAAGCCCAACCCCCAGGGGCAGATTTATTGTGGCATTAGGACCAACATTCACACATCCTATCAAGATGTGCGTGCAAGCTTCCACATCCCGAATTCCCGATGCCGAGTCACGGAGGGCTGCTCCAGCTCCAGCAGCAGCAGGGGGGTCACTGCTCTGGAATCACAGCTGGTGAGTCAAGGCAGGAGAATTCAATAGTCACATTCCGTGTCACTGTTTTATAACCGATGAAAGCCCACAGCCAAATTAGCAAAGAAATCAAGAGGTTGTTAAGAGAAGGGTCCAGCTGATGAGGCTGCACTGTGATTGCACAACTCAATGCATCCAGAGTAAAAGGAGAGTGTTGCTGGCCAGAAATAACCGAAGGGGGGAGATCCCAACGGAGGAACACAGTCATCGTGGTGGATGCACCCTTCCTGATGCTGTAAGCAAGGGTGTGTTACCTCGCTCTCCCCAATGACCAGACTCACTGAAGATCCCACCAAAGAGCTCACAACAGCAGTCAAGGCTGGAAATGAGGAAAATTCCAAGCACATGAGAAGCATCCCTGATCTCGGCCTTGTCCCTTTCAGTAAGGGCTGGGGTGTGTAGAGCACACCCTGCCAAGGAGGCTCCAGACAGGGAGGAGACAACCAGGAGAGAGCTGGAAACTGAAGCTGCTTTTACTCTTTATCCACCTTTATTGTGAGATGGGTGAATTCAGAGCACAGGAGTCCACTGTGATTGCTCCTGTCATCCTGACTGATCTGTAGAGATTTTTGACCCAAAAGCAGGTGACAACAGCTCATACATCACTCTGCAGCATCCTAATTAAATGCAGACAAGAGGAGTCTGTCCCTTTTAACAGCAAAACAGGGCAGGCTGGGCACTGCTCAGAAGCTGGTAGAGTATGAATGCTGGAGAAGTTTAGACTGGGTCACCCCAGAGGGTGGCTGGGCACTGAACAGTTCGACAGGGAATGGTCAGAGCCCCTTGCCAGAGCTCCAGGAGCGTTTGGACAACACTCTCCAGGCACAGGGTGGGATCACTGGGGTGTCCTGTGCACGGCCAGGAGCTGGACTTGATCTCTGCAGGTCCCCTCAGCTCTGGATATTCTGTGGTCCCAGGAGCCTGCTGCCCACAGGGCAGAGCACAGCTCCCATGTGCTCCTGACCTGCACAGCTGGGCCCACTGCGACATCCCAACAGCCTCACTGGCTCCCCACCACACACCCCATGTGCTGGTGTTTGGGAGGTGCTGCTCCCCTCACTGTCTCATCTCTGAGCAGAGGGAAGGGCAATACTAATTTATGTCTGGCTGAGCCCCATACATACATCTCCTTTCCCTAAGGGAGTCTGCTCTCATATTTAACCTCTTCCTTCTGCTGGCACTGGAGGTGGATGATGCAGCTTGTGGAGAAGTGCAGGCACTTCCCTCTCCCCCTCCTCCTGGAATCTTCCTCTCACTTGTGGTCCTTGGGATTCACCCAACATTTTCTCATGAAAAAAAGAGAAAAAGGAAAAAAAAAAAAAAAAAGAAAAAGAAAAGAGGACCTCTAGACAAGTATGCATTTAATAAGCAGGGAGACAAATAAGCTCCAGTTATCCCAGCAGAATTACAACACCAGAGAACAATTTTCTGCATTCCTCTGAAGGCCTGAAGGAACCCAATTGCCTGCTCTCAGCTAAATAGGTACCAGACACCAAGTGCTCCATAAGCAAACAGAGCCCCCAAAGTGCAAAAATGAAATAAGTAAAAAGCTTCACATTACATATAAACCAGCCGTTTGCACCTTGTTATTAATGGTCTCAACTTTGACCTTTACACCCTGGCTTGCTCAGAGTCATGGATCTATGAGGCTTGGCACCCTCACAACAATTCCAGGATGAGGAGCAGGGAATAAACATGCCTGGCCAGCACTGGAGAAAT